ATATATATAAGTTTTTTTGATAAAATATTGTTCTTTTTATTATATTTTGAATTTGTGCTAACTTTATTTCATTATTGTACATATTCAGGCTTAAAAGAATAAATAGATTTTTTATTAAGTTTAATAATTATTTCAGGTTTTTGATTCACTAACAATTTTTCATTATGTAAAGTCCAGGCCTGGCACTAACCAAACCCTCATTTATGTAATACACTGTTAGGAAACTATCCTTACTCTTCATAGAAATAAATAAGGCATTACACAATAATACATATGCTGTTATATTGCATAATTAGAAGTTACGAAACTATAATATACAAAATCCAATATGAGATGATATACTTGTAGAACATTTACTGTTTATCATTATACAACTATTAAATAGTTGCTATAAACATGAAAAAATAATTTACTATTTATCATACACAATGATAACCTCATTACTATATAAAGATTTTATTTACTAAACAATTAGATGTTCATAAAAATAAAAGACCTTAATTTTAAACCTGCTGAGCACTTTTAATCTTATCGTCAATTAGATGTTCATATGCTAGTTTTGTAATGCATATATTTGTTATGTATAAATGTTTTCTGTTGTTACAAATGTAAGATTTAGTAAAAACTTAATTCAAAGTTAAATAAATGATTAAAAAATAAATACCTACCGGCTGGAATATTCCCTCATAGGCTTCATCGTCGATTCCATCGCGAAGAGGAAAGTTTACAGCATAATATTTTCCTTTGCCAGCTCCAATATCCTGAAATTTTTGCAGTTTGTTATAAATTATTCAATATAAAACATAAAAACAAGCCATCACATTTCCTATTTTCATTTAATAATAATAATATTTATTTACCCTCAAATCCCCAGTTCCAGGAAAATACTCTCCATATTTATGAAATGACACAGTCATTACTCTATCAGTGGTATAAAATGCTTCTTCGACACCATCTCCGTGGTGAATATCGATATCTATATACAAAACTCTCTGGTGATATCTGGAAATTTTAAATCATAAAGCAATTTATGATTTGAGACTAGTATTAGTAATTTAATTCAAAATTTTCATCAACTAAAATCAATATTTGTTACTTAGACACTATGTAGTGTAATAAATTCGAACACTTGGCATTCCTTCATCTTTTATTTTAGTTCAGTTAATACACATTTTAAATTTCATGTTTTGGGCGTAACATGCCCCTCTTCAGACAACTAAAAAATATGAAAAAATACATACAGTATATAAAAGGTATAAAATACATATAAATGATTAAGATGTTTTTTTCAGACATATCTTGGGATTTTTTACAAAATGTGCTCTATTGGATGAGTACATAATATGTATACAGATTACACATTTATTGTATATCTATTTGGACAAATATCATATTAATCATTACAATACATTGATTTGCACAATCCATATAACTACACTATCAATGTACCTTCGTTATTCTTCTTTTTGGGCCAATACAATTGATGCATTTTAAGGGTAAGTATATCGCCAGTAGGGAACTTTATGATCATCTATTTCATTTTGAAAAAAGGCTTAATTTTTACCAACATGTCACTGTATTATGTATACAAATATGTTAATAAATAAAATACCTATTTTTGTAATTTAATTTTAAACTTATGTTGTTAGTATTCCTTCTTATCCTTGTCTAAGAGGCAATATGGTATTGAATCAAAATTTCATTCCAAATTCTGCCTTTTTTTTTTTTAAAAAAAGAAGGGAGGTCCACTATAAATTATCTCATTATAATAGTGTTCACAGAATAAATACAACGTATCTGTTTATTCTTTCTATAAAATTCAATAAAACCAGTAAAGCACAAATGGTTGTATCTTCTCTTGCTTTGCTTTATATCATGTTTTTACCACTTTTTCTGCGCAATATTGTACTAATTAGGAATTAACAATAAATTAACGTTTGGTGTATTTATTTTTATTTATATATATTCATATAATTGTATGTATTACATATGCCATTCCATCGCCATGGCAATGCACATGCGTAACTGTATTCTTTTAAAATCCGTTTGTGTTGTTCCATTTTTCAAAGTTTAATTTCATAATCATTGTTCTACGCTTGCACAGGTTCGAATCTAACTGGTTTTTAAACCTGATGAAGACCGAAAGTACGGTCGAAAACGTTTGTTTATTATTAAATTGATTACTACTGGACGTTTAAAGGTTTTGGAGTGTTAATTTATACGTTTTCCCGTATTCACATAAGAAGATTTTAGTTACTAATTAGGATATTCTTATGCAGTAAGATAGCCAGTTCATGATCAAATGTTTGATGATTATTCTACTTTTATTTGATCTTGTCAAAATTTTTAATTTATTTAATTATGGCAATATTATTTTTATGTAGGGAATAATTTTCAACAAGAGATAATTATTGAAATTGGAATTTTTGTCTAATTTTAATACGTATACAAATGTACAGTACTTACTGAATTTTGATCAAGTTTAGATTTTTATATTCAATTATCAGAATCCCATTTATAGTACTTTCAGCCAATTTTCATTTATTTTTATGCTCAGATTTTTATTTATGCAGTTTTTGCTTTTAAAGATTTCTATACTTTGAATTTTCTGTTATAGGTTTGTTTCTCTATGTAAAATTTTTATATTATTCCAATCGATATTGCAGTTGTTTGTTGTACAATGATCATGAAAGACAGAGTTGAGTCTATGATGTTTTAGATCTGCTATATGTTCTTTTAGTCTTACTTTGAGTTTTCGTTTTGTTTCTCCTATGTAGAATTTGGTATCGCTACAGGTACACGGGATCTGATATACAATGTTTCTTGTTTCTTCTTGTGGTTCTTTTCTTTTCTTTGCAGGTTGTCAAGTTTTAATCCTAGACAATAATTTTTCATGTTTGGGTGAACGTTTTATATTAATTTTTCTTGTTTCTCTATCTATTTCTTCATACAGACCTTTAATGTATAAGAAACTGATGTATTTTGCTTTTAAGTATTCTTTTTCCTCAACAGGAGTCCTTTGGTTGTTTATTTTCTTTTCCCAGGCATTTATTATTCTGTTTAGATAGCCATCTAAAAAAAACTTCTTAATTCAATTATGCCCTTTTGTATGTTAATATTTTTCCTACTTCTATTTCTTATTTTACTATATTCCATGTTAAATATGTTTTGTTTTATATATAAGGGTATGTTAGAATTATATTTCACAGTTGTTTTTGTTGGGCATGGTTTTTTAAAAGTCTCAAATTCTAGTTCATTTTCTCTTCATTTTTATCGTGATATCCAGATAATTTATTTCATGTCTAATTTTATCTTCCTCTTCTATTTTAAATTGTATTGTTTTATTTATATTGTTTATCCATTTTTTTATTTAGTCGATTTTAACTTCTGTTTCTTTATATATGATTAAAATATTGTCTACATATCTTTTGTAAAATTTTACTCTTTGTATTTTGTTGATTTGTCAATATCTACCATTATTAGTTCATTATTAGAAAAACATCTTAATCATATTTATGTATTTTTTACCTTTTATGTACTATGTGTATTTTGTTATATTTTTTTTAGCTGGCTGAAGAGGGACATGTTACTCCCAAAACGTGTAATTTATAATGCATATCAACTGAACTAAAATAAAAGATGAAGGAATGCCAAGTGTTCGAATTTATTACACTACATAATGTCTAAGTAATAAATGAAAATTACAACACGGTTTTGGATTATCAAATAAAATCAGAATGTTAAAAATACTACTGTGATCAAAAATTATCAGGAATGGTTCATTTAAACTGCATGCATGCAGGAGGGCACTGTTGTTATTTTTTTTATTGGTTTGACTCATTGACATCTAACAACAATCCATAGGTCATTATATGTTTCCATTTACAAATAAACACTTTGTGTGTAAAGAATTTGCACTGACCATTTTTCAAAATGTCGAATGTAATTGAGCAAAGAATGTGCATTAAATTTTGTTTTTTGCAGTGGAATTACTGCTACAAAAACATTGAATATCAGAAATGTTTTGTGTTAAATGATGTTCAATGGTCATCATTTAACAATTAGAGATATTACTGAACATGTTCCAGTATCATTTGGATCTTGTCAGGCAATTTTAAAAGATCATGCTTGCAGCATGTTACTTCTTCAGTTGTCCTGAAAATATTAAATTTTTTCCAAAAACATGTTCAAGTAGCCAAGGAAATGCTTTCTCAAAGTGAATCGTTCTTAAAATGCTTCTTTATGGGCGCTGAAACATGGATCTATGCTTTCATACTGCTCAATAATCAAGCAAATGGCACTCAAAAATTTAAAGCTAGACCAAAAAGACCACATCAAAGTCAGTCAAAAATCAAGGCCATGTTGACTGTTTTCTTTGATTGTTGCAGTGTTGTGCACAACAGATTCCTTCCAACCGGCCAAACTGTCAACAAAGAATATTATTTGAGCATTTAGTGTCATTTGCATAAAGTAATTTGTAGAAAATGACCAGATCTGTGACAAGAAAACTCATGAATTTTGCATTATGATAATGCAACTGATCACAATGCTCTAGCTGTTCATAAATTTTTGGCCAAAAGTTCAACAAATACAGTTCTGGAAGCTTCATATATGCTCGATATGGCACCAAGTGATATTTTCCTGTTTCCTTGCCTAAAATTTCCATTTTGTGATCACTGTTTTGATTTGTCCGAAGCCATAAATCAAATTTGCTGCAAGTCTTGAAGAGGTTTCACAAAAACAACTTTAAAGCATGTTTCGAGGATTGGAAAAATGTTGGCAGAAGTGAATTGCAATGGAAAGGGATTACTTTAAAGTGGACAAAATAAATTTTGATGAAATAAATTCAAATCTTGTGTTTTATTGAATTATTCCTGATTCTTTTTGATCACAGGGATATATATATATATAACAAGTGCAAGATTTATGTAATTATTAATTTTAATACATAAACCACTTAATTGCTTTGAATAAAAACTAAACTTTTATAATTTTAATATTTTGTATACTTACTTTAACAATTCTAGAATTGCTAACACTATGTCATTCACATAACAAAAACCAGATGCTTCAGATTTTTTTGCATGATGCAAACCGCCTGCCCAGTTCACAGCAATATCTGCAGCCTGTTTGTTTAATTTCACTGCTCCAGCTTTAAAAATAAACGATTATATTATTCCAAATTATCTAACCAAACTACAAAATGAGCAGAATTTTTTTTACAGTATTTTCATGGATTGTCCAGCATGTCAGTCTATTCAGAGGAGACCAGAAAATCAGATATTTCTATATGATAAAAACATGCATGCCAGTTTATCCCTGGAAATGCTGACAAGCCAGTTTAAGTGACGTTATATATTACTCTTTAGAGGGCACATTAAAAAAATGGAAGCATTTTTATTATAAAACTGTGAAACTGTCAGCATTACATCTAAAACTACAATTATACAATATGTAATCCAACATCTTATTTTTCGCTGAGAGATTATTTTTAATTAAAACAAACGTTTTCGATCCATTCATTGGATCATCCTCAGGCTAAATAGAACACTTCATAAATAGAACTACTCGTTTAAATATTCAAAAATACAAATAAACCGATAACATAAAAATAAATAATACTTGTAAATAATACAAATATTCAAAATAAATAACATAATATCATTACTAAATAATAATATCGTCTGCCTAACTATATAGAGCTTATTATTTCATACTAAATTTCCTGCGCTTTTTTTAAGCTTTTAACCGCAAACTTCCAAGCGGAAGGAAGACCCTCCGCATCTCTTGCGTTAATACATTTTTCTTCAAGTTTGCTTCTATAGATTTCTATCTTTTCAGCCGTTCTTGCCAATGCCGGCGNAAGAACAGCTGAAAAGATAGAAATCTATAGAAGCAAACTTGAAGAAAAATGTATTAACGCAAGAGATGCGGAGGGTCTTCCTTCCGCTTGGAAGTTTGCGGTTAAAAGCTTAAAAAAAGCGCAGGAAATTTAGTATGAAATAATAAGCTCTATATAGTTAGGCAGACGATATTATTATTTAGTAATGATATTATGTTATTTATTTTGAATATTTGTATTATTTACAAGTATTATTTATTTTTATGTTATCGGTTTATTTGTATTTTTGAATATTTAAACGAGTAGTTCTATTTATGAAGTGTTCTATTTAGCCTGAGGATGATCCAATGGATGGATCGAAAACATTTGTTTTAATTAAAAATAATCTCTCAGCGAAAAATAAGGTGTTGGATTACATATTTAATTGTTGTCTGCTGGGTATAGTTGTGGTTTATACAATTATACATTTAATTTCTTCATTTTGTCTTCTTTCTAATGATGTAAAATACTCATGGAATACTGAAAGTTCTTTTTTTATGTTTATTTTATATTAATTGATCCAAAAACGCAAAAATAAACATATTAAATTTAAGAAACTGGTGGTAAATTATCTCAACTTACATCAATTACCATCCACTTTGTGTGATGAAATTTGAGGAAGGTGTTATTTTTAAAGTCAGGATTGATGGTTATTGTAGCCCACACTGATTAACTACTACTACCATTAATATCAATATAACAGTTAGGTCTTGTAAATGAAAACTCTCTTCCTGATTTTAAATCAGTCAAATTACAATGATGTTATATTATTGTACTCAGAAAATTTTTTTTAAACATTTGTTTAACAACTAGTTTTGTTAAATCTGATTAATTTTATATTTTAGTTGCAGTTTAACTGGCATGCCGGTAACCCCGGGTTTCTGGCATGCTGGTCTCGCCCATTTATATGTGGCATGCTGGTCATTCCTCGAAAATGTGGTTAAATTATGTAACTTACCAACCGAACCACCCGTAGACAACTGGCAAAATTCATACAGGCCATCAAAGACGGGACAATCTTCCCCAACATTAACTAAAAATGAGTAAAAATAAATTTTAAAAACTTTTTTATTTCATAAATACATTAGAATTATTTATCCTTTGCTTCTATTCCATTTCTTTAATCTCAATATGTAACTGGTTTAAGTATTTTCTAGGAATTATCACATCCACAAACTCCATACTTACTAGCTACAGTTGTCAACTGACTAGTAATTACAAAATCTATGGATGTGATAATTCCTAGAAAATAACAGTGTTTGAACCAGTTACACATTGAGATTAGAATTATTTGTTTAGTGGGACAAGACAGGACGAGAGTGATCCATCAACAAAGAATACCTCGTGGAAAGACTTTTATATGGGAAACTGGTTCCTATTTAAGTGTTAGACATTAAAAAATGCAGAAAAATTCCACATGGCCTGCCTGTTGATATGGCACAAGAGAGGTTCATCTATCAGTGTTTAGTACTTTTATCCTCTTGGTTACTAGTGGGCAATTAAATACAGTAGAATCTATTAGGACCACTCTATATTGATGATAACCAACTAATATTATTAATTAAGCAGAACATGAGTAATGGAAATTCTGGTTATATAAATCTGACATTAAAAGAAATGTTAAAACAATTTAAAATTGTATAATTATTAATTAATATTAATTTATCCACTATTGTTTGCCTGCTGTTTTTGCAGTACCATCTCTAACAATAATTAGCATATAATTGAAGAAATGCCTGTAATTTAAACTACCATACTGTAAGTAAATAACAATTAGAACAATTGAAATTTAACATTTAAAAGTATTGGTTAAGATTGATAATGATAAATACATATTATCATTATATATATATTGTACTATTGTATTGTATTTGAATTTATGGGCTTATCACACATATGAGACACTATTATAATAATTTCAATAGTATATAGAATTTCGACTATTTTTATTAAATGACATATCCCAAAATGCATTTTGGCTATCTTTGCTTAGCCCTCTTCAGCTGGATATAGGTTTAAATTACAGAAAAATATTTTGAAACAATACAAAACTGTAACATCAACTTGCATACAAACACATTTGAAATTGACAAAATCAGTTAAAATGTAACCTTTACAACAATTAAAAGAACATTACAATTTGGTGCCAATCACATTTAACTAAACTAAACCATCAATATAATAAATTACCAAACGATCGCCCAAATATCGGGCTATAATTAAATGATTGGAATAAAGTAATTTGACATTAGAGGTAGGCGTTAGGCGCCATCTCTTAAGTAAATTAATAATTAAAATTAAATAAATTATTAAATAAATTTTAGAAATTTCTGGAATAAAAGAAGTGGCCCAGGACGGGGCTTGAACCCGCAACCTCCGCTTGCCGTGTGGTGCGCTTGCCAGTTACTTGATGTATTTAACCAAGTAAGGTTATATCTAATCTAATATACTTCTGGAAGCAAAGACTCGCTTAGGGTCTGGGTGGCGTAACTGGCAAGCGCACCACACGGCAAGCGGAGGTTGCGGGTTCAAGCCCCGTCCTGGGCCACTTCTTTTATTCCAGAAATTTCTAAAATTTATTTAATAATTTATTTAATTTTAATTATTAATTTACTTAAGAGATGGCACCTAACGCCTACCTCTAATGTCAAATTACTTTATTCCAATCATTTAATTATAGCCCGATATTTAGGCAATCATTTGGTAATTTATTATATACTATTCAGGCTTTGAGTTGTTGTTATTTATACATAAACCATCAATACATGTACAAACTACAATAACGTTTCATGTGTATTGGAGCAAAAAATTCTGAAGTGCTTTCATTTATGACACTTAGACTATTCATCATCAGCTAATATTGGGTCTATAGATAAAGTATGTGGGTATTGCAGTGCTCTGAAATGGAAGAATGAATCACAGGGGATTTATTGCTCTTCTGGCAAAGTTAAACTTTATGTTGTACTTGCCCTCAAACTTTTTCTATCACTATTAAATGGGACTCATCCTGACATTAAACATTTTTTAAAGTATAGTACAATAGGGCCTTCCAAATGACAAGTTTTGGTGCCACAGAAATACGTGAAAGAAATTTCATGCCAATATTCAAAATTGAAGGACAGATATATCATTTAATAGCATAACATTAATCCTGACAACTACCCATTTGAATGTAAACGCCTACAATTTTCAGTTGGTCTATGCTTTGCAATAACCATTAACAAGTCTCAAGACCAAAGTCCAAGAGTTGTGGGACTTGATCTGGAATGCAGTTGCTTTTCACATGGCCAACTCTATGTTGCGTGCTCACATGTTAGTAGCTGCAAATCTGTTCATTTGTGCTCCTGATGATAAAACATGAAATATCGAATAGCCTCCCAATATCAGGGCTGTGGAGTCGGAGTCGTGGAGTTTTGATGTTTAAGCCGGAGTCGGAGTCGGATGGTAAGGAAAAGTCAGAGTCGGAGTCGGTAGATTTTTACGTGACTTCCACAGCCCTGGCAGGGCTGTTGAGTCGGAGTCAGAGCCAGAGTCATGGAGTTTTGGTGTTTTAGCCAGAGTTGGAGTCGGATGATAAGGAAAAGTCGGAGTCGGTAGATTTTTACGCAACTCCACAGCCCTGCCCAATATACAACAAGTTTATCTAGAAAATATTCCACACCTTTAGGAATATAATGAATCTGTAACACAATTCTCTGCAGATATACTCTTTAGGAAAGTAAATATAATTGCACTAAATAAATATCTCCTATCAACAATGGGTAACACAGCTAGTATATATGTATATATATAATAGATATAATTAGGCAAGAATTTGTTTAATAATGCATGTTATCAGTCATAAGTCAAGGCTGAGGTTGCAAGAAGACAGCATAAGACTACTTATTTACTTGATGATAATGCTAACTATGGTTAAAGTATGAGTATTTTAACTAGCATGTTTTGGATATGCTAGTTCTCTTATAGAAATAAGAGCAGATTCTCAAATATTTTGATTGTTAAATTAGAAGAAACATATCCTTAGTATAATAAATTGAAGCCAAAGCATTTCAATACTTACACCTTTGCATCTGTTTATTATATTCTGACATGTTATCTGGTCGAATGCTTCTTAAAAAACGAATGTAATCGTCACTGTGATATTTGGTCATTTCTTCTTGTGTTGCTTTATGAGGTCTCTACAAGAAATATTATACAACATCTATTAAAAATAGAAATGGCAAATATGGAAATTCACTGTCTTGTGAAACCTTTAAAAACAGCAAAAACAATTTAATTACGAACATTTTTGCTCATTTTTAAAGACCATCTTCAGGTAGAATATAAAATCAAACTTAGCAAAAATAGAATGTAACAGATAATTTTTTGAGCATAGAATGCCAGTTGGTTTAAATGAAAAATTAAAATAATAGAATAAAATTAGAAATAAATATGTAACTAAATAATGAAAAAAATAAATACTGTAGTGATAGGTTGGAAGATCTCAGTAACAAATTTGTTAAGAATGTACAAATGGGCATCTTTTCACCTATCTCTACAGCATTATGCAACCATTAACTGTCATTAGGAAGCTCCAAGACCGCATACTTTTTGAAGAAGGGTATATTACAGTTCTCGACTTTGAAGCCTTACATCCTTCTATATGATTAGAATTGCACTTTTGCCATCTCAGGAACTTCCTCCTCTATAACATCAAGCACTCTTCTAGGCTGATACTGCAAATCTTGGAATTAGCACACCTAGCCACATATTCTTCATTCTTTGTATTTCATGGCACTACCTACATCCAGAATAGAGATGTCCCTATGGGCAGCCCACTTTCTGGAACCTTGTGTGAGTTGGTCTTAAGATAAGGTGACCAGATTTTAACATCAGTAAAGCAGGACAAAATTGACGGGGGAGTGGTTGTCTTGTTGAAAAAAATTGTTCTAGAGCAGCGATTCCCAACCTGTGGTACGCGTACCCCTAGGGGTACGCGATAGGTTGTTTAGGGGTACAGAAAAAAGTTAGTTATTATGGCAGAAAAAATAATATATTATGTATCACAAACTAATAGTATTAAAAAATTATTACATAAAAAATGTTCCTTGCAACAATCACAACTTTATTATACATTTTTTCTTTTAGGTTTTTTTTCTTTAATTTAAAGTTACAATATGTCAAATTAACAATACGGTTACTCACTAAATTTCTTAAATGAGGGGTACAATCTAGAGATATAACATGTCACGGGGTACAATCTAGAGATATGACATGTCACGG